CCGATCCCGTTATTCACCCCAAGCATGGGTTGCTGAAGACCAATTCTAACCCGGATCTTCACAGGTGAAAATAAGATAATGTCAAGTGGTAATGAATACAGCAGTTATGAAATTTCTGCTAAAGGCATAGTTAGTTTCAGACAAAATGCGTTTATAAATCAACATCAAACACAGATGACACCAGGTGCTTACGAAGAGATTAACGTGTCCTGGCCAACCGGATTCACCCGTCACAAGGGCAAGTCGAATTTTCGCCTGAAACCAAAAGAGAATTGGAAAGAAAATTAGTAACCTTTTTAATAGTTCATACAACAGCTTTGGTACCAGAGGCTGTCTTATTTGAACATTAAATATACCAAATAATACACAAGCACAAAGCTGAGTCTCATGTCTTCAACTGGTGGGGTAGCCTAGTGGTTAAAACGCTCGCTCGCCACGCGAAAGACCCTGGTTCGATTCCGTTTATCGTATCTTGCCACCCGTCATCGAAAGCTGGATGTCAGCTTGATTTCTCAAGTTTCCCCTAAAACGCAATGGACTTGTTAAAATAGAGGGGCGATGACGTAGCCTAGTGGTTAAAGCGTTGGCTCGTCACGACGAAAACCCGGGTTCGATTCCCCACATGGGCACAATGTGTGAAGCCCATTTCTGGTGTCCCCCGCCGTGATATTGCTGGAATATTGCTAAAAGCGGCGTAAAACTAAACTCAGTCAGTCAGTCATAAACTAGAAATGAAGCTAGAACGAATGGAAATAGCTAGAAATAGATAGAATGAAACTATTATTCTACCATGGTCATGAAATGTACGATCACTACCTATTGCAGTAAATGGTTGTAATTCCCGTGTTCCGCCCACACAGCATTATTGTTCATAAATATTTAGGCTTGATTGGGATGATTTCTCATACGTTCATGCATTCATGAGCAAATTTTCTACCAAGCACGTTTCTTTCTGCCAAAGATTCGACATGCAATTTCATCCTAAGTTTGATTAAACAGTGGGTTTTGTAGTAACGGTTCAACACCCAAGGCCTTAAGCTGGTGATACGTTTGGTTGACTGATGATGCCAGTTGTGATTTCAGAGCTCATCATGTCGCCAGAGACAGATACAAGAACCCGTGAAGATGATAATTGTAGAAGGTGGTCAGCTGATCAGCAACTAAAGCTTGCCGTAAGACGCGACTAACGGGGCTCGCTGAATGGGTTGACAAATCGATGCTCATGATGTCAATCACTGGATTATCTGGAGTATTGCCGAGTGCGCTGTTAAACTCAAACAAACATGGGAAATGGATGCAACAATGGTGTGAGCGGACAAAAACAGCATTAGTCTTGAGTCAACACTACGAACGCAGTTTGTGCCTCGATTTCTTTAACTTGATTAAAGTCGCATTGTAAATCCAGTTATCTAATGTTTGCATGTTTCGTTACAGATTAAAAAAGTCAATGTGTAAGTACACATATACAAACACGCGTAAATAAACACTACATAAAACATGTCCGACAAAAAATATCTGCCAAATGCAGAATCAGTTTTACTTTTACGACTACACAAGGATGATATGTTGGTGAATCACTATTTATGGCACTATCACAAACACACGCAAAGGCACGTGAGTTGATCGAATGAAAGAAAACGGGAACATAGAGTGATGGTCGGTATTGCCAGTTGATCTTTTCGCTAGGATGACCATCTTTAAAGATTCTTCATGGACGTTGACAAATAATCATATCTGGACCAGGAGAACTAGTGGTTGATAGCACGAACAACAAACAACATTGGTGGGTTACGGTCCCACAAAACTCAGCACCCCATTGTGTGCTTTTACTACAAGCAGGCTGTTTTGGACATGGATGATAAGTGAGAGTGTCGGTGTTTGAAAACTTGTTCATTTGACCGTGCATCGGTTTAACTGTCCAAACAGATGCAGGTCTTAGATGGAACCCACGGTATGAGCTGGGCCATGATCCTATAAAAAGGAGAAAATGTCTTAGACAGTTATCGAACAAGTTCATTTTCTGACCTTTAAAGATATAACCACAAGTTCTCATCTCTATCCCACGCGGGTAGAAGTAAGTAAGTAATTAGGCCCTTCAAACATATCTGAAGACAACTTGATGCTCTTTTGGGCCGCAAGTTACAGGAGAACTAAATCTCAAGCTAAAATTGAGGGGCTGGTTATATTCAAAACCTCTACAAACACAGAGTGAAGTGTTTTGAGAAAATACTTTTAAACTAATTATTTGGCTTTTAGCCCAGGGAAGTTGTCACTTTTAAAAAAAACCAAGATACATTTATCGATCTTGCTCTTTACTAACGATAAAAAGAGCATTTGCTTACAGCAAATATGATTGAATTCAATATTTTGCCTGATACTTATTCTACAAAGAAACTCCCGGCTGAATTCAACGACATTTTTCATGTAAAAAAGCTTAATCATTTGGCACCAATGGTAAGTCCAAGCTTTGACTGTCTCTGCTTGAAGAGTCCTTCACCATTACAAAATTAACAATGTCACTGGGTTACAGAGGTCAAGGTACTGCACTTCAATATCGGGTATGATCACCATTTGCATCAAAAACAGCATGACATGCCCACCCATGGAACTGACTTCGTGTGATATTCCACTGTTGTTGCAACAAAAACAGCAAGTCCTATGTTCAGTGTGGTAAACTGGACGGTCACTGATGAATAGGAATATTGTTCAGTGCTAAGAAATCACGTGTTCCGAAGTTCTGGGATGCAATAACGAGTTAAGTTGCCTGGGATGTGCCCTGGGCCTGTTCTTCAAGTATAAGAGATAAGCACCCACATCATTACACTCCCGGCTCTAACTACGTCCACACTTGACAAGCTTGGTTAGATGCCAAAAAATCATTTCATCGCCTGTGTATGTGTGCTCTGGTATCTGCACGTCGAAGGAGAAACACATCGCTGAAAACAACCGTTCTTCTTGACAGTATGCCAGAACAATGCCACTTTATGCTACGCAAGTTCTAATGCTTGTTTTCCTCAAACCATTCCTGTCGATCTGGTCGGTGGTTCTGCGCAGACATGGGACTACAGAGATTGTAAATTGGTCAGCGTTTAATCTATGAAGGGATGAAGCAATCCTTGGTGAGAGCGGTCACCTGTAAGAGTTACCTGGTCAAGGTGCCTGTGCTGCTCTGTGAAACCACCAGCCTCCAAATGGCCGATGTTTCGTTGCCGCCTCAGTAAGTGTACACGTACCAGTGACAGTAATACGTAAATGACAACGTTGACTGTTCCTTGGTACCTGACAGCGTGCGTGTAGCACTTACATCAACAGTTTTAAATATACTGATTTTTTTTAAAGGATATGTTAAACTTAATTGTCCAATTGAAAGTGCAAGATGATCCCACACGGGATGTCTGTCAGTAGAGGTAACGCCGATATGAGTAGTACATTGGTAGCATCACGGTGTGTTCGCTAAGTACCTGTTTGTAACTAAGAATAGTCGTCGGATTCAAACCCCAAATACTCGGTGATAGGTTTCTGTACAAAATAACTACCTTTCCAAATGACTGTATGATGGGTGGCTAGATGTTTCCAATAAACAATTATCCATTTCTGTCCAATACTATTCCAGTAGTTGTTGCCTTGATGGCGACATTTCACTACTTTTAAGTTACAATCGAGCATGCTCTTCCTACAAAGATTTCAAAAAGCTTTATGCGACTCTTGATCATAAACAGTTTGATCAAGGTTAAAAGATTCAAGTTTTCAAAAAGTGTAATAGTAGAGGAAATTTCAAAATTTGACGCAGGACAGAGAAAAAATATGTCTGATGCAATTCCCTGCTTTTAGCTGCGCTTTTGTGTTCCCAGGTAAACAAATGACTTGCCTTTGCATGTGTTTGTGACGAATACGCCCAAACGTTCTCGAACACCCGGTATCTTCTCAGTTTGATAATAAGTCATAAACACATTCTCGTGATAAGTCGGAATCGTACAACGGACATAGCTTTTTAGCAGAGATTTTTATGATTATGGAAAAAATGTTTACTTGTTGCAAATAAATATTGTAGCACAAAGCCGTAGTCTGTCGCGTTTACAAGAACGTATATACAATAATGTGTCGCGAGGCGCTGTCCAGCGTTGTGATCGGGATATTATACTCCTCCTCCGCCGGTTCCTCATGTAACGAAGAGCCATAAAATCAGAGCAGGTGACGTCTTCGTCTTCGGCTGATAGATGCCATACTAACTATACGTATTGTGTCATTGATCACCGTTCAAACCAACTGTCGGAAGAGTGACGGTCTATCCTGGCTTTATGTCACGTTTCAAAACATTTACGAAGACATCTCCTCTTCTCAAGAGGTTACCGATATAACCCTGAGATCAGATGTATCAATCCCCATTTTCGTGGCAACTTTTGATGAGCATTCTATATATTTTAGGGTCATTATTATCCATGCTTTGAGGAGTCAGCGTCTGACACACGAGTCAGTGTTTGAATGTATGTGTGTGTGCGGTGAGAGAGTGCGTGCGTGCGTGTGTGTGCGCCTACTTCAGACTTAAAGGTAAAATGCAAAATGGTCTGCCCCAAATTTAGTTGTATAAGGCGTGTTTTCATTATATACTACCCATCAAAAGTTTAGACTCACTAGTGTAAATGTAGCCACTTCCTTCAGTCAACAGTTCTAAACTAAATTTTGCAAAATATTCCTTACTGTTTAAAGGTATTGTTTACACATGAACTAATTGTATTGTAAAACAAAATTGTAACATTGAAAAGATTATTGTCATGAGTTCAATAAATGATGAAACTCCGTGAATATTGACGAATTCTTAAGAAAACTTTACGCCAAAACACAGCTGTCCACATGCATGATATTTGCATGCGTTACAGCAATTTGATGCATGATCCTCGTGCAATTCATCTGCACAGCGTTTGCAGTTGGTTCCCCTAAATTAGTGGAGAAATCAATCTTCGATGTAACCATACATATAATACATAAAATATAGTGAGTGTTTTAAGTGAATCTAAATTTTTGATTGGTAGTGTATATGGTTATGCATCTTTAACTGTGTCTAAGTGGTAAAATGTGTGAGTGCATTGGTGACGTAGTGTACAATTCCAGTGGAGCCGGTACATGTGGGAAACCAGTGAGGCACGTGCAGTGTTTATCAGCAGATACTGAAGATCACATGGCATCAACTTTCAATCAGTAATTTCCGACCTCTGCAAAAGAGCATCGTTGTATTTCACATTCGTTTATTATTCATTCATCATCAGATTCCATGACTGATGAAACCTCTTGGCGACCAGGATGTATCAGCAGTGTGCCAGTACAATGTCCTCGCTAATGGTTTTGCTGCAGCGGTGAGCACCTACGACCAAGCTGACATTTCTCAGTGTCACTGTAAAGTAAAGAGGCATTGATCCACACACGCTTGTAAGGCTGCATGCCGTGGTATCAAGGCAACGCCCCTCCTGGGCACAATGTAGGTCCCTGATGATGCAGCATGGATGTCGTCAGCAACAGCCTCCTGGATGGATAGAGCGTTTGCACATCGGCGGATCTTAATTTTGTCTCACCTTAGCCAATGGTGAGTGAGTGAGTATGGTTCTAAGCCGCTTTTAGCAATTTTCAAGCAGAAATGGGCTTCACACATTGTAGCCATGTGACAATTCGAACTCACGGACGTTTTAACCACTAGGCTACCCAACCGCCCTGGATCGGGTTATGACAAAATACGTTATGATATGGTACTTGTTGGTCCCTGCCTGGCGCTCGGCATTAATGGGTGCATCAAGGACTGGTCGGCTCGGAGTCAGTATAATGTGTCTGAGTGGGATATTCATGCTTCACTGCGGGATGGTATCTCAGTGGGCTAGCACTATAAAACCAGCTTCAGTCTGGGCTAGTACAAGCAGCCACACATACACATACCCACGCATGCACGTCGTCATATGAGCGAAATATTCTCAAGCACGACGTTAAACCCAAGTCCACCACCACCACCACGTTGCGAGCGGTATAATAGGATAAAACAAGGCCTGCTCGGTATGATGTGACTGCGAGGGGTAACCATGTCAAACTATGACATGACTTTCTAGGAGCAATAAAATAAAACCGACATCACCACAGACGAATGATACAAGCAAACACACGCACATGCATGTGTGTGCGCACACACACACACACACACACACACACACACACACACACGATCGCGCGTTCGTGCACCTCGTCATTTCAATGCAGTAATTTCAATGCAACAAACCCCCCATTGAAAGCTGCTTTCTGAGCCTCCGACTGTACTTTAACGTGTTGATCATTTTATACCCCTGAACCAGATTAGTTATAAGCTATAGGCTTAAAACTAGACAACTCAAGTCACTGTGATTATCGCAAAATAATATATTTTAGGGGAAATGTATCTATCATGATCCTTGTGAGGCATCGACGCAACTTGATATGTACTCGCAAGGGCAGGTGCAGACTTTGGAATCTAGGGGGCTCCTTCAGTCCATTGCTTTTTTGTTTGTCTCTAAATCCTTTGAGCTTTCTGCTCAACAGATAGGAGGAGGGTTACCATCCCGGACCTCCTCAGCACACATCCCCAACACCCCTTACCCATCTCCTTTACATGGATGACATCGAGCTCCTTGCCAAAGGAGATACCAATCTGAAAGAACAGATTCTCCTTGCCGAGTCCTTTTCTAATGATATTGGCATGACATTTGGACTCGACAAATGTAATACCCTTCATTTGAAACGTGTCAAGGTAGTTAATGGTGGATCAGTCAAGTTACAGTGGGTGGGGGGTGGGGAGTTATTGAGCGCCTTGTGGAAGATCACTCATACACCTATCGTGGAATCACGAGACAAGCTCCAGAGTGTCCAAATTCAAGACAAACTTCGGGCCGAGTACAAATCTCGCTTAAAGAAAATCTGGAGCTCAGAGCTAAATGCTCGAAACACGGTCAAAGCCACCAATACTGTTGCTGTGCCAGTTCTTTCCGATTCCTTTGGAGTAGTTGATTGGACAAAACAAAACATCCAGAGTCTTGACCGTCTGACCAGAAGGATCATGTCTGATAACAGAGCCCACCACCCTCGTTCCTCTCTTAACCGTTTATACATGCCAATAAATTATGGAGGTCGGGGTTTGATTAATGTGGAGGGTCTTCATGATAGAATTTTATTGTGTACTTTTGAACATATTTATTTATCGGATGATCCTCAAGTGATACATGTGAAGACTCATGATGAAAGCAAGGAATTCCACAGCTATTTTAAGCGTGCCAAGGTTGTTTGACAGAATCTGAGATTTGAGGTTGATTTTGTTGATGGCGATGTACTGCTGGACGGTACAGTGATGGGAGTAAACCAGGTGAAGTCGTTCACCAAGTCTGCCCAGAGTCGGTCTTTTGTGGAGAAGCTTTCTGAGAAGCCATTGCATCATGTGTACATGCAGTGTGTTGAACAGAATAGCAATCCCACTGACTCCTTCGCCTGGATGAAGTCGGCTGGTCTTAAATGTGAAACTGAGGGCTTCCTTTTTGCTGCTCAGGACCAGTCACTTCCCACTCGCAATCGCCTAAATGTGATCCTTAAAGAAAATATCAATATGAAGTGTCGACTTTGCAATAAATTCATGGAGACTGTCCAACACCTTGTCAGTGGATGCCCTTCCTTGGCACAAACAGCATATCTTAAACGACATGATGGCATGGCTCGTTGCTTTTACTACCGTCTCCGCCATGCCTTTGGCTTTGACTCCGAGGTCCATCCATGGTACGACCCTGAACATGTCCAGGGCGTCATGGAAAATGATGCTTTCACACTTCTCTGGAATAGGCCCATATACAACCTCAGAAGAATTCCAGCCAACAAACCTGATCTTGTCCTTTTTGATAAAGCCAATGGATGTATTTATATCATTGGATTTTCTGTCCCTTTTGACACCAGTGTGATTGGCAAGATTCAGGAAAAGCATGATAAATATGTGGACCTCGCCTTTGAAATGTCTCGCTTGCATCCCAAGTACACTGTCGCCAGGCTCCCCATTGTTCTCGGTGCCCTTGGTTTGGTACCTCCTGATCTCTTGGCGCAGATCAGGAGAGTGCCCGGATTCTCCACCGGGAGTACAGCCCTTCTGACACTCTGGGTAATGCAGAAGGCTGCAGTGTTGGGGAGCCTTCATATTCTCCGGAAAGTTCTTGGTGGGTTCGACTTGGCAGCGTTTCCTGGGAGAAGTCCCATTCGCTGTCTGGGCTGCGTGTAGAGGGGGCAAGGGCCCTGAGCTGCTGACCAGCCTGACTGTGCCAGGATCACCCGAACCCTCTCTGCTGCATACTATCTTTTATCTGTAAAACATAATAATAATAATAATTATAATAATAATGCATTTGTTTAAGCGCCTAATGTTCAACCAATGCTGCTCAGTGGTGCTGTACAGGGAAAGTGGTGAAACTAGTAGGTAGCAAGAAAAAGATGAGTTTTTAGTTGGCTCCTAAATGTTTCCAGGGAAGATACTGATCTCAGTTCAACTGGCAGACAGTTCCACAAAGCTGGTACAGCAGCACTGAAAGCTGTCTCTCATGGTTGTTTTTGTTGCTGGCATTTTCAGGCTGCCTCTTTTCTCTGACACAAGTTGGACGATAGATTTCGATGATGTCTTTTGAGGTAAGCTGCTGAACTGATGTCATACAGGGTTGAGTAGGTGAAGCAAATTATTTTGTACTGTATTCTCCTCTTTACTGGGAGCCAGTGCAACGACCTCAGCACAGGGGTAATGTGTTCCTGACATTTTGTCCTGGTTATGATCCTAGCAGCTCTGTTTTGTACAAGCTGGAGATGTTGGATTGTTGCTGTGTTCCTGACACAAGGGATATAGAAAGGACAAGTTGGAAACAGGACTGTAATTTTTGGGTACACATGGATCAAGATTGTTATTCTTCAGTAGTGGTCTAATGATGGCTTCTTTTAAAGATGCCGGTACTAAGCCCTCTTGGGGAGAGGAATTGATGACGGATGAAGTAAGATATTGGCATGATTCTAGACAGTTTCTGAGTAGCCAAGATGGTACTGGATCCAATTCACAGGATGACAAGGCGCAGATTTGATCGTATCTGTGATCTCTTGGATCTCTGCTGGTTCAAATACGACAAGTTGAGTGCCGCAAATTGTTGGTCTTGTTCCAGGGGATTGTTACTGCAGCACTGACATTTAGCTATGTCTTCACGAATATTCTTTACTTTCATAATGAAGAATTCTGTAAACTCCTCTGCACGTAGACTGGACTCCTCTCGAGAAGGTATGACAGTCGATGTTTGTGGTTCTGTTAGTCTCTTTGTAATTAATCGTCTGCTGTTTCCTTTACTTTCTTCAATCTTTTTCGCAATGTGGTCTATCTACCTCAAGTTTGCTTGATCTCCATCTACGTTCAGCAGACCGCCGTTTGTGCTTGGCTTTAGAAAATCCATCTGTCATCCAGTCGGATATAGGTCTGATGGTGATGTTACTTGTCATGAGAGGAGCGTGGTTGTCCAGCAGTCTCTCCAGTGTGCTGTTATACAGTTGAGTCTTCAACTCCGTTTTGCCTTCTTGGTTGATATCCTCCATGAGTTGATGAAGCTTGCTGTTGTTTATATCCTCGTTGAAAGAGGCAGCATTTATTGACCTTGTCTTTCTGTAGGTTACTTTAACCCTTGACGGTCGCGGTTTAGTTAACTTAGGTTCACAGAATATGCCTTCATGATCTGATAATCCATAATCCTCAATTCTGAAACTGTGGATGACCGAATCAGAACTTTTAGTAATGACAAGATCAAGGCAGTGGCCACTTCTGTGTGTAGGTTCTGATATATGCTGTTGCAATCCGAAGCTGTACATATTATCACAGAATATTATCACAGCTGTCCAACAATAATCAAGAGTTCATTTGAAATGATGGCTGAATCAAATAAATATCCAAATTCAGTGAGAATCTGAGTGTTTGTCAGGTGATGGTTCTCTGACGATGGTGGTCTGTATATGGTTAGACATTTAAGAACAACTCCACCAATTTTCAATTTTAAGTCTAGTAGTTCGAAACTTTTGTAGATATTCACACATACCACATGTTCAACTGTGAGTCCACTTTATTTTTTATATTTTTTTATTGGTTCCCAAGATTATAATATCACAGATATACAAAGACGTGATACATACGGCTTAAAGTAATACAGCTACATGATGACATTATGTACAAATAAGATATCATAAACATGCATAAATCATTACATAGATAATGTATAGATGATGTCAGGTATAAATCGATGCAGTTTAGAGTCATCTAAGTACTGGGGAGAGAAGGTTCCATTTGTGATTGAAATCAGTTATTTTTTGTTGATATATGATTTTTTATATATAAAGTTGGATTTGGAGGCATATTTTTAAGACCGCAAATGTGAATATGTCTCTTCGCAGCAATGATGATGTGATTTAGTGTTCTGTTTTCATGTACCAAACCAAATCATGTTCCGAAATAATCAGCATTAATCAGCATATCAGAGCTACAAGAGTTTCCACTCCTGAAACAGAAAATATAACATTGCATGCAAGGCATTCATGTTTCACATGCATTAACGATTTGCTCGAAATACAGTGGTATAAGAAAGACATAATACCCCTGATACTTTGTAGGTTCTCTTGCTAATTTCTGATAGTAATAAAACTCATAATAATATATTCCTATTTGATCTGTTATTGTATTTATACATGTATATTTCGCAAGAGAACGGTTTGCCCGGGAGCTAAGGTTACGTTTTGCCTCTTTGACTCATATTAAGATGACCACGGTGTAACATTTACGCCTTAATTTGACTTTATCATCAAAAACTGTGTTCCACAGGAGATATTGCTTGTCATCACTCGTTGATAAAAGTAAAAATATCCTCGTCAAGCCCCGGATATGTGTTACTTTATCAACTCGTGGTGAAATATTTGATATCAAAAGGCCCTCGGGTGAGATTCTCTATTTATCATCCAAAAACTGGCTCCCACAGTTGATATCGCTTGTCTGAGATCAAGCGATATCTACATTGTAGATACAGCAACAACTGAACTGTCATAATGCTATGCTATTACATCGACAGTTAATGGCCTCACAATGCTTTGACATCACTAAGAACACAGCTGTCAATGCTATGACGTCACAAAGTTGATGACATCACAGTGCTGTGACTTTGCTGATATCACTGTTCAAGAAGCCTAATGGCAGTTTGTGTTCAGATAAATGCATTCTTTTACTGATGAAGAATGATTTTGGATGATAAATATAACCTCACCTTAATGCCTTCTGATATCAAATATATCAACACTCGTTGGTTAAAGAAAAAATATCCTCGGCAAGCCTCGGATATTTGTGACTTTAATCAACACGTGTTGGTATATTTGATATAAGAAGGCATTTGGGTGAGATTCTCTACTTCTCTCCCCACTCTTAATATGTGTAAATCGCCCAGATACATCGCACACAGCAACGCTTGGCGTCGAGTGTAGATCGGAATTAATAGTTTCCCTTTGCACATGTAACGTGATGCATATTGAACTAGAACGTGATGCACATGTATCGATTACGTTGTGTATATTAAACGATTCTTTCTTGTCATTCATTTTCACCACAAAAAAGCCAACAAAATATACAGTTGTCATTTTATTAAAAAATAATCCATCCATTAACATTTTTGATTACTCAACACAGCGAAGCCTTCAACAACTTGTATGATATATATATATATACTTACATATAACAAAATATATACCACGTTCACAAAATTGAACATTTACACGCCTGGTTACTCGACAAACAGCGGACATTTCCTTAAAAAAAAGTAACACGTGATGGGAAATGGCCGTTGTTTTCCAAAAGATCCATTTAGCAACCTAATAGTGCTGATATTTTTCAATCATAAATAGATTCAGTACATTACATATATACAATACCTAACAGTTATGATATCATATTGTTCAACGAATAATACTTCAATAATGTTTCAGCAGCGATACATCGACTGAAATTGGTTCGTGAATAATTCTACGAGGAATGAAAGAGCTCACCATTATTGGATCAGCTGATGCATGAAAACCAATTATCAACGGTTGTTTGTTTGCTGCGAATTTGATTGGACACAGGCGCACTGTCGTCTCAAGCGCCGCAATTCGAACAGGATGGATGTACAGGGTTGCTTCCCCTGGTCATGCCAGGAACCTAAGCTCATGGGTTCGATGTCAGTTGTTACCAGGTTTGTCAGCATCAAACCGGTGCTCATGTTTCACCAAATAATAATCATTGGAAATCAGCATCATTTCGGGTTTCCTTCCCACTTCACGCTTAAACACCGTGACATACGTTAACTGGAATACTGTTCTATGCCAGGTTAAAACCCATATTCACTCATTCTGAAAATATAAGGATCCGAAATATTCAGGAGTGATAATGACATAGACAAATCAAAATTATGTGTGAAAAATATTTATGAAAGCGTGTCCTCTTTATTAGTTTTTCGAACCTTGCATTTATGTGAGTAAAGGAGTTTAAACCCATTTTGAACCGGGCCAACTTCATGTGGGAGAAAGTCCCGAAGTAATGCAGCACACATGTTGGCAACTGTGGTGAAACTAAGCAGCACGATAACTGTGCTTACGAATGTAGAAACATATTCTGCTTAAATGCGGGGTTCAGCACGATGTTTGTTATTAGCCATTGGTCTCTTGTAATTTTCGCCACTTCAAACGCCTCATTCTGTTAGTGAGGGAGGGATTTTAGTTTTACGCCGCTTTTCAGCAATATTCCAACAATATCACGGGGGATGGGGGAGGGGGGGGACACCGCGGAAATGGACTTTATGCATCGTACCCATGTGGGGAATCGAACCCGGGTCTTCGGCGTGACTAGCGAATGCTTTAACCACTAGGCTACCCCTCCTTATTCTGTAAACCTTTCATCTCGATTTACAACCATGTTAGTCTGATTCACAAGGGAAGTAACTCTGACTATAGTCCGACCATTGCCGACACCATTAAAAAGCCAGTCGGTGATAATAGGCAGGAACCTGAATCATTTTGGGTAGGTCCAAAGATCATTGTATTTGAACAAACCTAACGAGTGGTGAACACATTGATCACTCTCCCAGATAAGGAACAGCTGTCACACCAAGCAACACGGATACTGTACTGACAAACCTGGAAACACAGTCGGTGTAAGCCAACGATCAGCGGTGTCTGGCGGACGTAAGTGGGGCAACTCTGCACAGTGAATTACGACGCCTCGGACTACTGTTCCCAGTTGGTGTATTGACTTCGTTAACGTTGATATCAGAGTCAACCTTACTTGAAGTCACGGACCCAGAGTAACAGTAAGGAGAACAGATGAGCTACAAATGTCCACATATGATCGGTTCTGAAGGATTTTGTGTGGTTTATTTCACGCCCCTTTGAACAGTATTTCAGATTTATCATGTCAGTCCAGTGTTTTCAACTTGTTAATTTTCACTAAATATTATTCTTAATATTTACTTTCAATCTTTTTTTAAAATTAATGTTATGATAAATGGTACTTTGAACAGTTACTCATTTTGACAGCGACAGTTAATGGACCGGGATGTTTAACATTTCTCTTTTATAAAACCCTGATTGTCGATATTTTTTGGAACCGGCGGATTGGTAATTAACAACTGACCTAAATCAACAGTTACACAGATGGAGGATGTTTATTAGTTTAGTTAAACGGGTATGGCGCTGAAAAACAGGGCGGTTACAGCTTTTTAGGAGGGTTCCACACTCTTGAGAAAGTGGGGGTGCACATTTCATTTTCACGAAAGTTTCACTGGTCATTTAATAAACTTTCAGGACAAAAGGGGAAAGGGGGAGGCGCACCTCTGCACCCACCCCACCCCCTCTAGATCCGCCTATGGCCACATAATCAAGATGAACAGGGATTCAGAACCACGGCCTTCACTCAGCACAACGGCCTGCGGACTGCGGTAGGTTAGGCGACTGGGTCACACAATGTATGGGTAAAGCCCAGACTGTGATACATCCATCTGCTTCCACTGATAACATCATGTGACCAGTACGTGTATAGTATGCTGCACGAAGTATCATACAACAAGTGCTCAACTAAGCAAAATGTATCAAGTAAAATACGAGGTAGCATATGGACACTATTTGGCCCACTTGTATCGTCATGTTTAAAAGTTACGGAATACCTAGAAATAATGGCTTGAGTATTGTTAGATATGTTCAGTTGACTGACTCAACAAACCATCTCTTTTTGGCGTGATCAATGCAAATCTAAAACATACATTTGCTGAAACGAACACAATATGGTTATGACAGTATATATATACATGATCCACTAATTTCTCAAATTTTGACAATCCAGGCGCCAAACATGCCCTTACCATATCATGCCCTTTAAAATATATATTCTATTAGAATTTACAATTTAATCCCTCGTAGTGAATTCAGTTGGTGGAATAGTATTGTTCAATGTTCAGAAGAATTTCCTTATCGCATTTCATTTTATAAACAATAATATTAATTGTTTTTTTACGACCTGAAGACTAATCCAGGTTCCGCTCTGCAGTGTTTGTTCAGAGTTCGCACTACAATGATGCTTCTGTTGTAACAGCTGTGTCTTCTATTAAACATTATGTTCCGTGTGTCACCAATCGTTTCACACTCAATAAATATGATGATGTTTATGTGGGTAAGTACGAACAAACGGCTATACGATAAAACATAACCGTATGAGTGGAGTTCAAGTTAAACATCGAACTCTACTTGAAACGTTATATTATTCACTGTTATACTATGGTGCTGTTTATACCTCAAGTAGGAAGATATACTGTTTTGAACTCCCGAAGCCCGGGGTTTGATCATCCAGTGATTATGATTTTACGTCGTTTTTAGCAATGTTCAAACCAAAGGTGATTGCTGCCAATACAATTATAACATACAAGCGAGATACAAATACCCGTGGGCATATAACATCATCAAGAATGAGACACTATAGAGAGACACTAGTCAGGAGACAACACGCCACTGGCCAAGACGGCCATGGATCCTCGCTTGTAATTATTTTGGGGTGAAACAGTAAGCAACGACGTAAATTTCATTTTAGTTTCAATGTTTTCATGTGTTGAAATGAAACTAACCACGTTCATTTTATTACGCAAGGAGAATACTCGCACTAGCAGCAGCAGCAAGGTAATCTTAAAATATATATGTTTTAATTCAAAGTTTAACAATATTTAAGCTCTTAAAAGGAATTATTTATATGGATTATGTAACAAAACCTTGACGTTGAGTAATATGTTTGAATGACCGCATGTGTACTGAAATTACTTTTCTGTTTGTTGGGTTGCTCGAGTCGTTAACCTACTGTACAAGATTCCATACTCGTTTGTCATGTAACTTGTTCATCTAATCTTCTGTGTTTATTGGTTGCCAGTGGGTAAGTTTGGGCATATAAACTTCCCTATAATCGGTAAAATGATAAAAGATAATGCGAAAAAAAACTAAAACATAAAATGGCCTACACTGGCTGTAATAAAACGGTAATAAAATATATCGACACCTGTTCCCTCGGAGTGAGTGAATGTACCAGTAATATCACGGCTTTTTGAGGGAGCAATGACCCAAGCGTTGAAGGTGTCAAACGTTTACCGCTTTGATGAAACTCTCTAATATTCATGGTGCAGCTATCAACAATAACAAACATGCCAACATGTCTCACTGCCAACGTAAATATCACAATCATAAAGTAAACTCAATAATACAGGGAAGTCTCGTTAACTCGAACTCCGTTTCGGTATATCGTCTCTCCGGTTGTGTCGAACAGCGATAACAAGAGACATATTCGACGGTCCGCAGGACTTTGACTTAACATGAGTTCAGCGTATCTTTGACATAAACTATATGACCAACAATCTATAACACACTGCACAGGATATGCATATACCAGTACAAACAATACGACAGTATACGTCTGACATTCATAGTCTATATCAAAATAACGCTTCATCGTACGCAAGCATTCAGTTGCTATACTTTGGACAAAAATATATATTGTACTGTTTATATTTGAAAATATAAAGAGAACATTAATGGTGTTATAACAGTTACGATCATATTTCTCTTTGTTAGAGGTACTGAACTATGGGTTTGCATGATTGTGTTTATGTGAAATCGAATATTTTTCCTACCCAACCCACGTTCCACCAAACCCCACCCAATTTACTGGTCTTATCCACCCTAATCTTCCTATAATACCACCCCACCCCCTTGCCTACACCCCTCCCCTCCCCAACCACACTATTTACCCTCATTCGGTCTACACTTCCCGTACCGCTCAACATCGACTGTCACCATCATCATGTTTTGTCAGCCTATTACCGTAAATGAAGTAGTATAAGCTGTGTTTGTGGTCCTTCACTACCCCATCTTGATTCAACCCGCACGATGGGTCTGAATTCAGGAGGGAAGTGTGAATATTCGGTGGACAAAGGAACACCTGGTCTACACCCACCTTAACGATTGAGTGAAAAATGTTTTACGCCGTCTTTAGCCGAATTTCAGCCACATCATGGTGGGTGTACCACACACATTGTTCCCAAATGGAGAATAGGACCCGGTGACGAGCGAGCGCCATTACGACTAGGCTACTATAGTCCCTTGAAACCTCGGCATTGACTTCCAGTACACCTATCCATTACATTCAACCCGTAGGCCAAAATCCTTGAACCTAACACCCTCACCACCCCCGACCCAGTCAACCACCCCCACCCCACACCACACACACTCTCAGAAGTTAGCTGACAGATCCTTATCTACCACCACCCCCACCCCTCCTAAACCCCTCAGTTGTCAGACGGAGGTTCCTCATCATTCCTTCATGGTTTCACCTTAAGTTCTACTTCTAATACCACCGCCGGCAGTCTCTCATCCATCCCAGGTGGTTCAACCTACCGCCACCAAACCCCTAACCCCCTCAGGATTCCGCCGGCAGTCTCTAATACCTCTATGTTGGTTCCACCTTCAACCCTCCTTCTACCCCCAACACCGACCCCCTCAGTAGTCCATCGGAAGCCCCTCATACCTCCTGGGTGGTTCCACCTTCAGACCTCCCCCTACAACCCCTACCCCTCTCAGTAGTCCGCCGGAAGCCCCTCATCCCTCCTGGGTGGTTCCACCTTCAGTCCTCCCTCTACAACCCCCAACCCAGACCCCCACAGTAATCCCCCGGCTAATACCTAGGCTGGTTCCACCTTTAACACTCCTTCTCCCCCAAACACCGACCCCACTCAGTAGTCCGTCATACCTCCTGGGTGGTTCCACCTTTATCCCTCCCCCTACAACCCCAACCCCGACTCCCTCAGTAGTCCGCCGGAAGCCCCTCATCCCTCCTGGGTGGCTGCTGCTCTTTGATCTCCTCGTGAAGGCGGCTGATAGATGTTCCCGACCCCAGGGCCGCGTCCCCCGTGTACTCCACCATGGGGCCGTACCCCGTCTCGGACTTGTTCTCCCGACTGTTGTGCATCCCGTAAGCGAAGTATACCACCAGACCTGGAGAGACACATCACGTTATATAATACTCGCACCTTGGTACAGTAATCTACGGTTATAACGAACTCACAGGGACCACTATTCCTTTTCGCTATAACCGTAGTTCGTTTTAGGCATTTCAACTAAGATATACAATAAGTGTCCGGGACCAATCAATAGTTCGTTATATCCGTCAATCCGTTATAAATGTGTTCCTTATAAACGTAGTAGAGTGTACTAGATGGCACTTATGATTGTTAGGTTTGTTGTTTTACGCCGCACTCAACAATATTATAGCTATATGGTGGCAATCTGTAAGTAATCGAGTCTGGACCAGACAATCCAGTGATCAACATCATGAGCATCGATCTACGCAACTGGGATACGATGACATGTGTCAACCAAGTCAGCAAGCCTGACCACCAGATCCCGTTAGTCGCCTCTAACATGGGTTGCTGAAGACCAATTCTAACCCGGATTTTCACAGGACGGCACTTATGAAATAGATGTCTAATGATTACTTTGGAAGATAAAATCAATTAAAAGTACTACATTCAATTCCAGTCTGGACATCGACCTGTTACGGCAAGACAAATTAGCTGGTACTCGTATTATGGAAAAAATCGGTGTTCCTTCACTTCTTATAAGTGAAATATTTGTCTTGTGCAAAACTGAATTTACTGAGAAATAGTTTCTATGCCAAATTAGGCAATAATGCACAACGAAATTAATAGACGTAATAAAATTAGGTTTTCAAGTGAATTGCTTTCCTGGGACTGCAAATTTACAAAAAAAAAACGCCCGATTTTTTAAAGTCGCCTCGCGTTACAACCAATATGGTTGATTGGTTTCTTGTTTAACGTTGCACTCAACATTCCAGCCGTATCGCGATGGTCTGTAAATAATCGAGTCTCGACCAGAGAATCCAGTGATCAACAACATGAGCATCGCTTTACTGGGATATGATGACACGTGGCAACCAAGGAAGCGAGCCTTACCACCGATCTCGTTAGTCGCCTTTAACGACAAGCATGAGTTGCTGAAGATCAATTCTAGCCCGGATCTTCACAAGTTACAACCAAAATGGGTTGTAGGGGACCAATCCAAACGCGGAATCCATACAGGATCATTGTGTGGGACAGTGTAGGAGGAAGGGATGGTTTCAGTTATTTGACATTTCTTTCCATGAAACATTTACATTGAGTATAATTTGCCTTTGAGACAAACATCTGGCAATTTTCCTGTCCAATTAAATCTGTCATAAATAATCTTTACTGGAATAAACTGTCTTCATTCTGACCTGCAGCCCTCTCATTGACAAACACACCCTCTCACAGTGCATGAGAATGAAGCTGTTACGTACAGTGCTGCTCACAAACAACTCACCTACTGCCATCCAGATTCCAAGACGTATCCACGTGAGATGCGACAGACAGAACATGAGAGCGACGTTGAAGCACATGGACAGAGTCGGTAGCAACGGCACCAAGGGAATCTGAAAAATTCATAATGATATATAATTACTTTTTCGAATTGTGACCTGTGCCTAATAATATGTTACTCAATAGTGGCCATTTACTGCGATATCATTAGGTTTTCACGAAAATCATGACTGCATTGTTGAAGGAAATACATCTGGTGTTTTCATATATTACGATATTACACAAACAGACATCCCTAGATTTCTGGTCATGCTTTTTACATACGAGAAGGATCATGTAAAAACCGAAAATGCGAAATTCACGCCTTCCTGGAAATATTACTGGAAAATCTTCACGGCTACATTTGGGAGCTCCGTACCCGTGAATAACTGAGATGGAATTTCGTTAATTTTGATGATTGCATATGTAACGGTGACGTTATGATTAACGGAATCGTACTGTGTACGAAGTTATTTCCTTATATCACAGAGTAATTGTAAACAGGTCAATAAATACTCAGGTAATAAGTCAATTATTATATAGTGTGTACTAGTATTTAACAAATACAGTATCATACCTGGAATGTCATGAAGGCGTCGTTCTGCTCATGCGCAACTATGACCAGGTAGAAAAACACGATCCCGCCCCCGAACAGAATGACGAGGACAATTATCCACCAGGTGGCGCCAGTCAAATAAGGGAAGCCATATATGCACGTTACACACAGGGAAACGATTAGCACGCCCATCAGAACGGTTGCCATTGTGACGCAACTCCCGGGTTCAAACCCGCGTAGGATGGGGAGTTCTTTGAGGCTAGATCGTAACTTCCCGAAGTCATCATGGCTCTTGGACTTCTTCATGATAATGCTCTTCTCAGACATTCCATCCTCATCTTGTGGAACCTCCTCGGGTTTGAGCTTAAACTGACATTTTGTAACTGGCTGATATCTTAGAATAATTATGCTAGCAGCAACTATAGTGTATGCAAGAAGAGTACCTATGGACATGAACTCGACAAGAGTCTCAATTTCGAATAACAAGGCTCCCAGTGCTGCAAGAAAGCCGAACACCGCTATAGCCCATACTGGAGTTTGGGTGCGCGGATGAACACGTGCGAATATCGAGAAAAGTAGTCCGTCATCCGCCATTGCGTAAACTGACCGTGGCAGTGAGAAGGCCCCACCAAGAAGGGAGGTTGTAATGCCAAAAAGAGTTCCGATTGCGACAATATACTTGGCCCAAGTTGCTCCATTGTACGCGAAAGCCATCGGAAAAGCTGCCGCCGGGTCTGTTTGGTCAAATGGTACCATTAACGTTAAACTGATGCTGACAAGCATATAAAGAACTGTGACTACAGCAAGGGCGATAGCTGTCGCAATCGGTATCGACTTCTCGGGATGTCTTGCTTCTTCCCCTGAAATAGCGATGCCCTCAAATCCTATGTATGCAAAGAAACAGGACGCAGCGCCACCTAGGGTCCCCGAGAAGCCAAAGGGAAAGAATCCACCTTTGCTCGTGTTGGTCCAGTTGTCGATGTCGGCGAAGTAGAATCCCGCACAGATGATGAAGGCAATGACAATCCCGTTCAGTATTGTAAAGGTGCTGTTGAAATGGATTGAGAACTTTGCTCCGGTACCTACGATGATGAACACTACTATAGTGATCGCCCATGCCAGGAAATCAGGATAGTCTGACAACCACTCGTTTCCCTTGCCCATGTACCCGATTGTGGCAATAGTGCTGTTTCTTATCGCTCCGTCAAACAATGAGTCGATGGATGCGCTCCACGCACGTGCAACTGCAGCTGCGCCAATCAGATGCTCCAGTACAACATTCCAGCCAATCACAAAGCCCCATACTTCTCCAACGGTGACGTAAGTGTAGGAATATGCCGAGCCGGCCTTTGGAACCCTGGCCCCGAACTCGGCGTAACATAGAGCGGAAAGGAGTGCAGCAACGCCGGCGAAGAGGTACGAAAGAACGGCGGAGGGTCCGGCTTTGTTGTGAACTACGGTTCCAGTTAATACGTATATTCCTGCTCCGATCATGTGACCTATCCCAAGCATGGTGATATCGAAAGTGTTGAGACATCGTCGTAGAGATGTCTCATGGAAGTCATCGTTGACTGTTTTAGTTCGCGTTATTCTGCTGATGAAACGCTGAAGAAGTGACATCTTGGATGGTGGTCTGGAACAGAGAGACAGTTTTATTGGTACCCGACAGGATTTGAACGATGCTTAACATGAATTTTTACAGCAGTTTGACTTTCATTCAGTTTATGGCCATGGGCAGCGGGGTAGTCTAGTGGTTAAAGCGTTCAATCGTCACGCTGAAGACCCGGGATCGATTCTCAATATGGGTACAATGTGTGACGCCCGTTTCTGGTGCCCTCCGGCGTGATATTGCTGGAATATTAATATTGCTAAAAGCAGCGTAGAACCTCCCTCTTTCACTAAAAGCCATTTTGGCCCCGTCCCCGTCGTAACTCTACTTTAACATACACTTACGCAGTCATAACCCCAGCTCCATTTGCGGAACGAGTTCTTTCAGCAGTCTCACAACAAAAGGACGGTTAGGAGCTACTGCTCTTGAATCGCCATTGACATGCACACATCTCATTTACAAATATGCCTCTTCTGTAAACAAGGTTCATTGGACGTTCCATTCAATAATCATCCAGAATTGTACAGTTTGAAACACAGTCAATACAGCTCCCAATCGCCATCCCATTACAAACCACTCTCACCTTGCATACAATAGCGGGGAACGGTCACATTGGACATAACACTCCATTGTTGAGCAAGATTGGCCACTGAGGAAATCGACGTCAGTCGATATTTCTAATTTGATTTCAAAGGAAGCTTGTAAAAAAACCAAATTGATTATACGGCATGTAAATTGGTAATGGTATTTAAACATGGAATTATTAACTCAATTTCACTGCAAGATTGCATGACGACCTGGAGTAACGGCAAGAGACTGTTTCTCTCTTCAACATTCCATTTCCATGTACGACGATTATTCGCTTTTTGTTTGTTCTCTGGAATCTGGCTTTTACCAACGGGTACATAAGACGACGAATAACTTGGGGTGACTTGCATTGGTATCCTGCATTTCTATGACAAGTGGTCTAGTGGATAGAGCGGTCGGTGGTTCGATCTTCTAGTGAGTGAGTGTGTGAGTGAATGAATTTAGTTTTACTACACCGCGTTTAGCAATATTACGCCGGGGGACACCAGAAATGGGTTTCACACATTGTTCCCATGTGGGGAATCGAACCCGGGTTCTCGGCGTGACGAGCGAACGCTTATCCTCTAGGCTACCCCACTGCCCCTCGATCTCCTAGTGCCTCATACCGAACAAACCGGTTAAAAATACACTAATTGATGTTACCGTGCCTGATGTTCGGCATTTGTGGTATTGGTCAAGGACGAACCGGATCCGCGTCTGTGTGAGTGGGGTCCATGTTAAACTACGGCATGGTAGCTCAGTGGGCTGACACTATAGGTTCGACATTAGTCAGGAATAGTTCGAGCAGCCACACCCGTCTCTACATTGTGAACTACAGTACACTACGCTTATTCACGAACACGCTTATAACAAACTGATAGTTATGACGAACTGGGTGTGGGTGGGGGTGTGTGTGTGGTGTGGGTGTGTGTGTGTGTGTGTTTCGGTCACGTAATTTTCTGTATAACTTACTGAAATACGTATAACGAACTACGGTATATGACCCCTCTGAGTTCGATATTACCGTAGTTACGTATTATTGTTTCAAACCCATATCAACACACATCTCATATGTAATGTGGCTGAGTAGTAAAACACATCGTTTGTTTGAGAAAACGATTTTGCCCTCTAAACTCAGACTGTCGAAAGAGCCGACAAATTGGATGTCGCGTCTCCAGGCTCTGCGACCTCGCTGACTACGTGTCATTGTCTTTGCTTGTGAAAAACGAAACCAAATGATTAAACTGTGAGCTTTGACTGAAGTCGAAGTCGCTTTTTCTAAGTAATGCATCGGCGACATGGAAATAACGGTGTCTGGGTCAAGCAATCAGGGTCCCGATCCCCAAAACGTTCGGGCGCTACGACATTCGCAAACCTGTTACAACAGGTCGTAACGTTACGAACGCTTTATGAATCAGGACCAGGTTTCCTCCAAACCAGCGACGTCATCAGAGTACGGTAACACACGATCAACCCAGTCGAATATTGTGACAGTAGATAGTTATTCCAGTCAGTTCTCATTGAGGTCCTTGGGACCTACAGATCAATATAATCCATGCCGGGTTATCGCCCAAATCTACAAAGCGCTGTTTATGAGAAGGCCTAGCAAAGTTAACTCTGGGAAAGGAGGTGGAATATCGATCTTTTGGGAAATACGACCTGTGGAATAAGTACATCTTTGTGTCCAAACATCTTGATTATTCCAGATCTATTCATCGTTTTGCATACCTTCTGCTGAAACATTTTAAGATGACACTTCAGCACGCATCCAGTATCGTCGACTCGAGGTAGATAATTGGTACCGGCCAAGCTGGACGCGTGTCTTTACATGTGGAACGGTCACTTACGGTCGCTTACATGTGGAACTTACCCATCACGTCGCTGTGTCCAGCAAGTGTCACAAGTGACCCCTGCGGGACCCTTGTGCATGGTGTCATTCTCAGTTTGTGAGGGAATTCCTCATAGATCAAATCGATTATGGCAACCATTTACCACAGAAAGCTCGTTGCTGTTCTTCCAAGGTTGCTATGACAACAGACTAAACTGTAGACTCTATCATGGATCTTTCTCCCTAATTACACCAATTTGCGAGGTGGGGAGGCTTAAACGATCTCTCACACACGTGACAATCGTTCACGCGGACATAGGACGAACATCCGTGTGGAAACAGTCATACGTGTAAGAATGCAAATCGTCCAAATGTCGATACCAGCCAGTGGCATGTTTCCAACACATGCCAAATGGTCATCAGTAATGTCACGGCCTGTCAGTTCATCACTGAACTGAGCCCTGGACACCATCAGTGATTATTGTTTCCATGGATCCATTCATACAATTTTCACTCAATTTACCTTCAACGCTCTTTTGAATTTGTTTACCAGACTGGGTATTCTCTTACGTTGAGAACCGTGAAGATCCGGTTAGAGTTGATCTGCAGTAACCCATGCTTGACGTAAGAGGCGACAGAAGGGACGGGTGGTCAGGCTCGCTGACTTGGCTGACACATGTCATCGTATCCCAAATGATCGATGCTCATGCTGTTGACCACTGGATTTGTCTGGTCCAGACTCGATTATTTACAGCCCACCGCCGTATGGCGGGAACATTGCTGAGAGCGGCGTTAAGAAACAAACAAACAGGTTTTTTATTTACCCCGTTTTAGCAATATTCCAGCAATATCACGATGAGAAACCCCGAAAATGGGTTTCACACGTTGTACGCATGTGGTGAATCGAACCCGGGCCTTCCGAGTGAGGAACGAACGCTTTAACCAATGAACTACTCCACCGTTCCCTGAAAGTGTACGATGACATTCGTAAACGTATAAACGTACAAACGGAAAATGTGGGAAGTGAATGGTGTTTAACGCTAATATTCCGGCACAGTCTGTTCGACAGCGTCTGGACCAGGCACACCAGTGTCTGACGGAATGACTATCAGTCAACGTCAACGTCGTACCTTGACGTACAACCACCCACATCACCACCTATGTGAGTTGACTCCGGCGACACGTGAGATAGTGGGGCCCTTTTCTGACCCAGAATCCCATGCGGAGGCGGTCATCTTTGTTCATTCTCCACTAAACGTGCATTTAACAAATAATAGCGTCGCTTTGGGATAGTTATAAAATGTTTTGTTGGTAATGAGCAATTGATACTCCAAAGTGTACCTTATGATATGACAGTGTCAGAACATGTTTAACAGAAGTTATAGAAACTGATTTTATTTACTTTCAGGCTCTTAAATGTGACCAGTTTTACATAAATATGCATGTAGCTAGCAGAGCAGTAACAATTATATATGTCATATTCGAAATAGAGAACAAATTTTCTAAATATTAGATCTTAATGTTGTCTCGATAACATAAGAATATATTTAGTACGATTCCAATACTTTAGTATGTCAGTGTTTTTCAAGCCAGGCTCAGAGGTAGGTGTCTCCAAAATAATTGACAGATACGTTCCCTAAAATCATGTTGCATTATAAAATCAAAATTGAAGGTATATAACAATAAATAGAATGTCATCTCAACCGCAAATGAATATAGAACAATATTTAACAATCAGTTGAAAGACGCATGCTCTCACAATATTATGTTTCTTGAGAGAGTACTCTCAACTGTAACAAGTACGCGAAAATATCAACAGATACGTTACATATGTTGCCTCCCATTTTGGAATTAATCGTCTTACATTCACCGACTCTCATACATGCATGGAGTTTGGTGAGTAGTCTGGGCATTATGGCCCTTTTCTGGCTTTAACTGTTTGTCCAACACATCTTAATACATGTTATGTCCAACAGATACGTTAACAACAGATACGTTACCATTACGTGACCACCGTGTGAAACTGTTCAAGGTAAAATCTGACTGCAATGGCTAGACCATCGTGATGTCATCTGGTGTGCATTCCATGAGATAATCATACCAGTTCAAGTAACGTTCCTTGGGCGATCCAGAAGGTATTGCAGAAGTGCACCATATCTTGTTCAGTCTGTCACCAATGCCAAGACCACCATGTGAACAGATACGTTACTGATTTCATCTGCTGTTGTATCCCTAAGGGTTCACTGGTTTTGGTTTAGTTGTATCTTGCGTTGATCTCCTACATGTTAGTTTAAAGGTTAAAGAATTGTTAGTTTATATATGTTCGTTTTATAGTTAACCAGACACGTGACGTGGGAGTGACAGATACGTTACAATTTGACTCTTGGGGGGAAATAGTTTCTTGCAGAAGTTAAGTTATTATATTTTCATCTTTCTGTTCTTTGACCATATTGTGCACAGACAAATGCCTCATCTGGAGAAATATGTACATTCTTGGTTCAATTCCCTTGTTTATGAAGAAAATGTTATGTTTGTAATCATTGAATAGAGGAAGTTGTTTGTTCTTGTCACTGTTTGACATACTTCAAAGTGCAACATGTACCCACTGGACATGTGTTTTGTACTACAAGAGGTATCAACAATTCAATAAAATACATCAATATCTGATATGTGCATGTTGTTTTGTATATAGTTTTCTCAACTATACACAAGACTACGATCTGGTAACGTATCTGTCCATACAAAAAGGGGTATATGAATGTTGACCACCATAAAAACCAGCACAAGCATCGCACAGTCCAGCCACTTCAGAAACATGTTCCCCTGACGTTACTCTGCAGCTTGCCTAAACAAATGGTAATCTTTGAGACACTTTATTTCTGAGAACCCACACCCGCCTATATGCACGTTTAGTGGAGAATGAGCCATCTTTAGCGCTGGGAACCAAGGCCTCTCCAGCCAAATTGACCCTTGACAGAGGAACAGCTGATGAGTTTTTGGAGGCACGCGATTTGAAAATTACAGTTTCAACCCATGGCGTGATGATCATTATTAGGATTGGATTTGATATGATTAGCTTCTGACTCCTCTCTGTGTGTAATCAGCCTCGCTGCAGATACGATGGCCATCATAATGCAGACAACCAGGTTTTAAGTTATAATTATCATTAATTCAGCCAACTCGCAACCCAAAAAATCTACTTTTTAGAAATGATATAAAACGATCGGTCAATATCATATAAAATATAAAACGTACATGTCAGAAACTAACCAGTGTAAATTATCCTTCGAAACAGATTTCAATGGGCGTAGAAGGCTAACATGAAGTGACAAATATATATGAATGGATCACGGAAAATCAGTGATGACACCAGGTGTTCACGAACGATGCCCGTCAACCAAGTCAGCAAGAAATTCCACGATACGATACGAATCGCGATATCTTGGAACGATATGAATCGATTCGATGCATATCACGATATGCTATCTTTAGTTATTTCCTTAATAAAAGAAAGTATTATTTTGATGGTAAGTAACAGTGTAAATGTTGACATACTCGTCAATTTCTAGTGAAAAGTAGTAATTCTAACGTCAACGATACATATCACGATACGAAAGAAGTATCGACATATTTATTGTCGGATAAATTATTCACAATTTATACATAATGTATAAGTATAGGTGAGGTGAAATTGGGTTTAACGTCGTGCTTGAGAATATTTCGCTCATATGACGACGTGCATGTGTGTGTATGTGTATGTACGGCTGATTGTACTAGCCCAGACTGAAGCTGGTTTTATAGTGCTAGCCCACTGAGATGCCATCCCGCAGTGAAGCATGAATACCCCACTCAGACACATTATACTGACTCCGAGCCGACCAGTCCTTGTTGTACCCATTAATGCCGAGCGCCAGGCAGGGACCAACAAGTACCATATTTTAACGTCTTTTGGTATGACGCGGTATAAGTATAAGCTTCAGGTATATCAATGATCTGATCATACATTTATGCTCTAACTACTAGCTTATCGACCAGATCTTGGAATAAGAATAACTACTGTAATCGACTCATCTGTTTCAGTCAATGGACAGAGATCCAAAGTGTCAAAAAAAACCGTTTCCACAAAACTGAGTGACAAGATGCCTTCAACTTTCAGGAAGTCAGCCTTTGGCGTCTATTGACGTCTACTACGTTTGAGCAACAAACATGCGTAATCTACGAAAGATCCTGCCACCTGTGTCCTTCGACCATTGCTCCAAAATGGTTTTATAAGGATACTGTATAATAATACTGTATTAAAAGCCTTAATACAACCCTTCAATACGTGCTGAGTATCACATGTTGCGGGTACTTCTAAACTTTATTCATCAGCAACAAAATTGATGTCCAACGCAATTCCCTGTTTGTACACCTGTTATATTACGGTGAACTTGACTTGCCCTTGCATGAATTTTTTATGGGTGACGCCAGTGGGGGTGATTACGGTCACCTTTACCCGGAACACCTAATAAATATCATCACTATTTGATAAACACGTATTTACACGTGATTCAATAACACGTGCTTCTGATATACCAGATATCGCTTAATAGATTTATCATGAATATGAAAGGGCTTTCGCCCCTTTAACTGATTAGATAGTGAAATGTGGATAAATGTAAATTACTATTTGATGTTTATGACGACAAAGGGCGGTGGGGTAGCCAAGTGGTTAAAACGTTCGTTCGTCACGCCAAAGGCCCGGGTCCGATTTCCCACATGGGTACAATGTGTGAAGCCCATTTCGGATGTCCCCGCCGTGATATTGCTGGAATATTGCTAAGAGCGGCGTAAAACTAAACTCACTCACTCACTCACACAAAAAGGCATAAGAAAAAATATATAAAGAGACATGTGATAAATGGATAAAACTAAACTCACTCACTCATGACGACGAAACAGTTGAAGGTGGAGGGAAAGGTCAAGTGAGTAGCTGTCGTTTTGATCAAAACCTTTCAGATTTGACGAAATCTTAGAGAATGGCACGGTGCTATCAAACCATATATCCTCATCATCTGGAATCAGGGATTGAAACCCACAATCAACAGACTCGGACACTACCACAACAGAATGGGATGACAAGAGAATGCATTACTCACGTCCGGGGAAAAGTCTGCAAAGATGCCACACTAAATCTGTAAGTCCGTGCTAGAACCAATATCTAGTCACTTCTGCACACAGTCAAGCGTTTCCAACCGACATCTTTATCCAACTATATAAAGAGCATGTGGTAAATATGCACTTCGGTACATTGTTTTCCGTCGCTGTAATGTGTCACGATTCTGACGTCCCCAAATGTCAACGTCGGGCAGATCTCGCGCCAGCGGTTATTGGATGAATTATTAAACAGGCAGATATCATGTTGTACCGAGGCAATCCGGAGCAAATGTCAATATCGCCAAAGATGAACCGGTTTCGGGACATGAGCTGACATTGCTATTTCTTACAACCAGATTATGGAGGCACCTTCCCATCTCAGATGAAGTCAGGTGAATTTGGGGCTCTTGCCTATTGCTTTTAGACACCGACGTGAAAGTTTTAGTAAGTGACTGCTGAATATGGCTTTACGCGCCACTTTTAGCAATATTCCAGCAAAATCATGGGGATACCAGAACTGGGCTTCACACATTGTACCCAGATGGGGAATCGTGTTTGTGATGGTGTTACTATTACTGTGCTTACCGGCGGAGCTATCTGTATTTAAACACTGACACTAAACTCTACACGGTTTACTCCGAGCCGTCACGCCGAAAACCCGGGTTCGATTCCCCACATGGGTACAGTGTGTGAAGCCCATTTCTGGTGTCGCCCGCCGCGATATTGTTTGAACATTCCTTAACTCACTCACTCAGATGTAGCCATTGTGAACAGTGACAGTGAGTTAATGCAAAAACCTCGTACAATATTAGCTACATCATCAAATTTTGCCGTATTGATTCTATTTTGTTGTTCAGAGTGACCATAGTATCACATTTCACTTCGTCAGCAGGATCATGAAATTGTAGCAAACAGTTTGGTAATGTTCTCAGAGTAATCTCTATTTCTCTGCTCAAAGACCGCGCATGAATTAAACTCTTTCAAGTTGTATCATACCTACGTTATAGCGTTTGGGTACGAGCCATGACAACACAGCATTTATTTTGAACAGCCCAAAAAGAGTATTTTAAGAGTGTTTTAAAAACAGGATAATATCTTGTAAAACGTGCAACAATGTGTAAAAAGCAAATTAATCATATGTTTTAGGCCAGGTCTGTCTATATGGGGCGCAGAACATAATCAATAACGCCTTGTACATGTAATCTCACTCCCAGTATGATTGTAACACATGGCAGATGGTGCATAATGGACATGATAAAAGCAGTAATGCCCGGCAGTAGCTCGTCAGCTCGGTTATCACAATTCGGTAATAATCAGACTGAAACAGAACGTTGGCAAACTAATGAGGTAGAAGACCTCCACGGTCTGGACTGCATGTCTGTCTTTAAAGATCCGGAGGGTGTGTGTGTGTGTGTGTGTGTGTGTGTGAACTGTGTGTGATGCCCCAGACATTTGCCAACTCGGACACTGACACTGAGAAAGTCAAGGAGGGTGGCCAAGCGTCAATCGTTCTATGCTGCCCTGTAGCCTCTAAGTGAATGAATATTCCAACAAAATCACGGCTGGGGACATCAGGTATGGGCTTCACACATTGCATTCTTTTGGGGAATCGAACCCGGGTCTTCGGCTTGACGAGCGAACGCTTTAACCACCAGGCTAGCCCACCGTCCCTGTTATCATGACAAGGATAGTTTGGTAAGTCAGATGTGTTGAGACTTGGTTGGAAACGGAGGCAGATCCGCGGTCATCACATGCTTGTCTGGTCCAGACTCGATCATTTACAGACCGCCGACATATAGCTCGAATATCGCTGAGTGCGGCGTTAAACAACAAATAAACACACAAATCTTCAAAACAAAATCCATAGCGGGCGTCCTATCCCTGGCATGAACTCATACCAGTTGAAAATGTGTGAAAACTTGGGGAGGAAGGTACAGTTGCACCCATCATTTGTCCAGGAACAATCTGAACGTGAGTCAACAACCTCATTGCCACCACAGTGGTGTTGCCATGGCAACTCTACGATGGGTGAGATGACGTGAGATATGTTGAATACAGTTTTGTTATCGGTTTGAGTGAGCGACTGTTAAGCAGACTAAGAACTGTTTCGTGACAGCACTGCGAGTCGGACTCAGTAGATCCTGTTATGGCTGATGAACGTAATATGCAGTTTATTGCGATCCCTTGAGCTCTTCGACCACACAATGCCAGTTTTATTTTACAATGATTGAATGTTATACGCAGTGTAGAGCTTTAGTTTAGAATAATTATGAGGCAAGCATTGTAAAACTTTCCATTGTGGGGGTGTGGGGTAGCCTTGTGGTTAAAGCTTTCGCGCGTCACGCCGAAGACCCGGGTTCGATGATATTGTTGGAATATTGCTAAAAGCGGCGTAAAACCATATTCAATCACTCCCTCATTTTCGATTGTATACATATTTTATACGAGGATATACGGCAATCAGAAATTCAGAATCATATCGCCAGGCATAACAAGACCACTCTCCTCTGGGGAGTGCTTTACGGTTATTACGGTTGATAATTTGTGAAATGTGACCTGGTAAAGGGTTTCAGCGTGCAGACTGAGGTCCCGTTTTGATGGATACTGCCGTGCACGATCGAGCCATTTATTCAGTTTGTCTCACGTAACAGCTTATTTTGGTCACACAGCGACCGGTAATGACCATGGCAGACAGCTGTTATATGTAATTATATACGTAGATGGCACATTAACGTTTCTGAACAAATAATTTAACTTTATCCATGAATTACACTAAATGCTGTCTCACCTTGGTCTAAGGTGAGTGAGTGAATATGGTTTTACGCCGCTTTCAGCAATAATCCAGCATGTCACGCCGGGAGACACCAGAAATGGGCTTCACACGTTGTACCCATGTGGGGAATCGAACCCGGGTTTTCGGCGTGACGAGCGGACTCTTTAACCACTAAGCTACTCCAGTGCCCCCTTGGCATAAGGTTTTACAATACATAGAACTTTGTTGTTACGTCGTGATAAGCTACAACAACGGCGTCGACAACATCGTCGTCAACAAAACATTCATCCGCCCAGACACTGTCCGGTTTCTGGTATAAATAACACACCCCACACTGTATGTTTCCGCCACGACAAGGCTGTTATACACCATGGCTTTGATCATCAAACCTCTGTCGTCTCTTTGACTCCAGTGCGGACTGTGTTTGTTGTCAACAGTCTATTTTTAGTAATATAAAGATGAGGACAAAAGGACGCAATTCCTGACTTGTTATAGAAAGGTTAGTGATACTGAAGTGTAGTTGTTATTTTGACCAAATCGCAGTGAATAGCGCCATTCTAAATCTCGAAATGGGGGCCTCATCGTTTTAACTTGTACTCGACCTCACTTGACAAACGTCATCTTCAACTATATGCACCAGGCGCGTAGCAAGCCATTTTTCCCCTGTAAGTCCGATAGGTTGCAAAGCTTTATGTTTAGATAGTATTGAGGGCTTGCCCACCCTTCTTAACAACAATGTGTAAGCCCGGGTTTTTCATAATGGTAGCTACGCCCCTGTGCACGCTCCTTATACACATAGCTAGGTTGAGCAAAATATAGCCATCTTAAAGAATGTACAAAAGAGATGTCAGCACAATTTCACACTTGCCTCGCCATACATCATATATAAAAGCCAATTGTGCTATGTCAGCGTCACCTCAACCATATGCACGCTAATAATACACATAGCCTTGTTGAATAAAATATAGCCTTCTTACCGATTGTAGCGATGTCACTAAATCTAAACACTTGCCTCGCCATAAATATACACTTGCCACGTCCCTCAACCGAAAGCACCTGTCCTCTAATAATATACAGGCCATGTGACAAAACATCAAACATCACCGTCACTGAAATATTGCCAAAATGACATTACATTTTAACTCACTCACCCAAACGTCAACGCCAGAGAATAACCAGTCCCAATTATCCAACGAAACGGATTTAAAAGGCAAAATAGTGATGTGAGTTACATGTATGACAAATCAGTAATGACACTAGGTGTTCATGAAAAAGATCTCATCCTGTCCGGTAGTACAAGAAACTTTGTACAAAAATAATACCGTATGTGCGAGTTGCCTGACGCCGTTACCCAGTACCCGTGAAGGTCCGGGTTAGATTTGGTCGTCAACAACCCATGCTTGTCGTAAGAGGCGACTAACGGGATCGGGTGGTCAGGCTCGCTGACCTGGTTGACACATGTCATCGTATCCCAATTGCGTAGATTAATGCTTATGATCACGTAATCACTGGATTATCTGGCCCAAACTCGATTATTTACAGACCGCCTCCATATAGCTGGAATATTGCTGAGTGCGGCGTAAAACTAAACTCACTCACTCCGTTCGTGCTGAGGTGGCATGTGAACCAAACCAGACATTCAAGTGATGAACTAGAAAACTATACACGATAAAGCATTTACTGATTTAGCTGAAACTAAAACGACACGTTAATTTTGAATAACGCCTGTTGTGCTGCGGCGTCAGTGAAACACAAAGAAACATGTTCATTTTGCAACACAGCTTCTATGGCTCAAGGGGCGGTGGGTTAGCCTAGTGGTTAAAGCGTTCGCTAGTCACGCTGAAGGCCAGAGTTCGATTCCCCACACGGGTACGATGAGTAAAGCCCAGTTCTGGTGTCCCCCGCAGTGATATTGCTGGAATATTGCTAAAAGCGGCGAAAAAACTCACTTACTCACTCAATGGCTCAAATAGTAGTTGACTCAGCATAGATAAATACTACTGAAGTGAGGGCAGAAACATCGCAAGAGACACCAAACAGGGTAATTGAATTTACACCTTACGGTAATAGACATAGAATTATCCAATGAAACATGCATGTACGCAACGCTGTGCCTCTCAGCTTCCACTCAGCCTATATATACCCTGAACCCCAAACAGATGGCTATAGCATATTGATCAGTAGCTGTTCTGTATGTAGGGACAACTCTGGTGCTGAGCGGAGGGGTAATTACCAGCATCATGTCCATCACAGCCTGTTGTAGCATGTTGTACACGGTCAGCCTAATGGAGAGACGCCACAGCTGACTCACTCCACTGTGGTATGTGGCTGACAAGGCCTCTCGCGGGCTTTGACTGCACGTGATACAGCGAACCTCGAACATAAGAGTTCGAAAAAACTGAGTGATGAAGGAAATCGAGAAAGAGTCAGGCATTCTTCCAGGAATGTTTCTTACTGAAGTCGATTAAATTAAGTATATGTGAGTTCGAGACAAGCGGAGGATTGGTGCAACTTATGTTGCCTTCGGGGATTAGGAATATAGATTACATGAACCAGATTCCATGAAGTTCGAGTTAACCAGGTTTTACTGTTATACAAAAGGTGTAATTTAATGTTAAGGACATCTTGGGTTTTTTCCCGTCCCGCCCATCCCAGGTCAAAGTCAAGCTAAAACAAACCTAATTTCTGTATATGTTTACCAACCCGTGAAGGTCCGGGTTAGAATGAATCTTCAGTAGCCCATGCTTGTCTTAAGAGGCGACTAACGGGATCGGGCGGTCAGGCTCGCTGATTTGGTTGACACATGTCATCGGTTCCCAGTGACGCAGATCGATGCTCATACTGTTGATCACTGGCTTATCTGGTCCAGACTCGGTTTAGACCGCCTCCATATAGCTGGAATATTGCTGAGTGCGGCGTAAAACTAAACTCACTCACTCACTCATGATATGTTTACTCATTGTGCGCCTGTGCTCCCTATCACAAAGAAACGAATAAACAAACACCACACAGAGATCGAGATTCCACAGCTGTATCTGCATTTTGTAAGATGGAACACTATGAGTAATACATAAACGTAGAACCACCAACTCGCAACTGAAATAATGGATTACTGTCTCTCGTGAAATAAAGTTACACGTCTCCATCACGTCTCGGCACTTACACCAATACACCATGCCAGGTAATCTGTCACTCCTTATATCTCGCTGAACGAGGACCCGATGGTCGTACTGTGGACAGAGGCTGTGTGTATCCATCGTATCCTGACCATTAATCTGTCACTCCTAATATATCGCTGAACGTTTCTCGAGCTACAAACCCTGACCATTATACAAACCATGACCATTAATCTGTCACTCCTAATATATCGCTGAACGATTACCCGATGGTCGTACTGTGGACAGAGGCTGTGTGTTCCATCGTATCCTGAGTGTACGCACGTCTCTCGAGCTACAAACCATGACCATTATAAAACTACTGAAGAATAAAGCTTGAGTATTACTACCGCAAACAATGCCTATCCTCTTCATTCCTATCATAACTATAAACTATTACTGAAAAATTGATACTCGTGAAGATCCGGATTAGAATTGATCTTCAGTAACACGCGACTAACAGGATCGGGTGGTCAGGCTCACTAACTTGGTTAGCACATGCCATCGTACCCCAGTCGCTAGGATCGATGCCAATTATGTCAATCACGGGATTGTCTGGTCAAGACTCGAATGTTTACAGACCGCGGTGATGAAGCTGGAACATTGCTTACTGCGGCAATAAACAACAAACAAAAACAATAAAAGAATTTACCAGCTGCCGCTGAAAGCCTGGCCGCTGTATAGTCATGAATAAAACAAATTGGGCATATATATCGGTGATTTCGAAACATATTAACAGGCCTACTGAGTAGGTTCCCGTGCAAAGCACATATAAATGATCGCTCTCAGCTATTGGCTTTATATGAGCAAGTTCTTCATATGTGTTAGTGTTAAATATAAGCCGATCGGTAACAGCTGGGTTGGTAGGATGATGTGGAAATAGGAACCAGTCTCGTATGTGTTTATTAAGTCATCATGCATAAAAAGCCTATGATACTTTTAATTACTTTTAATTGGTACTGTTCAGCGGTGTTCGGTTCACTGTACTAACGGTATTATTCAACACGTCAAACACAATCGTGTGCAACATCGACTTTGTGGGAAACAATTCATTTGGGAATGGTTCGAGTCACATTCACACTGCAAGAGATGTAACTGAATATTTGTCTTAAAGGGGCACTCACGGATGATGAACCCGATAACCATCAGTTTAAATTTGCTTCATCTGGCTGTGTTACCAGTTTGGACAACTGATAGAGATTAATTACAAATGTAAGTTTGTATTTTCTGAATTTTGTTCATCTTGTAATACTTCGTGCATTGTGACCACCCGTGTCACATTCGCGTAATAGTGGAATCGTTGCAGCCCTAGAGAGCGAGTGAGTGAGTTTAGTTTTACGCCGCACTCTACAGTATTCCAGCTATATGACGGCGGTCTGTAAATAATCGAGTCTGGACCAGACAATCCAGTGATCAACAACATGAGCATCGATCTACACAAGTGGGACACGATGACATGTGTCAACCAAATCAGCGAGCCTGACCACCCGATCCCATTAGTCGCCTCTTACGACAAGCATGGGTTGCTGAAGACCAATTCTAACACACATCTTCACGGGTGAATAATATTCATGAAGAGACAGAGTTCGAGTCACCGAACACATGAGTATACCTCACTCAGACACATGACATGTCTTCTGACTCTGTGATGGACACAGTGTACATGGAAGGGGCTGTCTGAACTCACGCCGTACTCTCCACACACCACACAGAACTATGTTAATAAGTTCAGCGCCCGTTTTATAGAGAATACTAAAAAATGTCCCGTGTAATACCACATTTATGAAACGAGTAAATGGTTGATACCAATACCATTCACGAGTTTCATAAATATGGTATTACACGGGACATCGTTTAGTATTTTCTGTAAAACGGTCGCTGAACTTATTAACATAATTCTGTATGGTGTGTTTAGACAGCCCCTTCCATGTACACCATGTATGTCC